AGCCAGGCAAGATGTTAATCAAAGGGTAAGAATCTCTTGCCGAGCTTTAAAATGGATTTTGCACATAAAGCAATTTGTAATCTCACTGGAAATTTCAGATGGCAATTTGATCACTTAACACAGCTTTACTCTATGAATGTTTCATGAGCAGCCATTCAGCAGTCACTACAAAAATGAGCCTTTTGTTTTCACTGCCACTTCCTCAAAACACACATTCAGCCGTCTCTTCTTTTCCAAGGTCAGGCTGGTAAGATGACATGCCCATAATTTCCTCTTACATAGGTGAGCCAAGCTGATCTGAAGAAGGTAAATAACAATGGCTCAATTGCAAAGATGTCTGATCTAAAAAATGTTACCACTCTGCATTATACTACGATGAGTGTCATCTCAGCATCCAAGAGAGCATTTTAAAAAAAAGAGAGTTAGCATGTTATGCAGGGAGGAAAAAATGCTGGCTGAATATTAAGAAATGATAAGGCCAGTGAAAAACATCAGCTTCTCAGTTACCGAACATAGGATGTCAAAAGCAGTCACAATCATTCCTGTATGGGAATGCTTTTCAACCCCAGCAACTTTAAGATGCATGGACTTTCAATTCCCCATATCCCAGCTAAGCTGTGACAGATTTTAAAGCAGAGAAAAATAATATTGATAGACCTGTCTTTCTACTAATAACGCTTATGAAACAAATACAGATAAACAGGTGCCAACAAAACACTACCAAATGATTTATTTTATATATGGTTACAAATCAAGTCAGCCAGTCTACTCCAGGCATACAAGGCAAGAGTGGGGGGGGAAATATTATTATTTTCATTCAGTTTAAAAAGTCTTAAGGCTATTCAGATTTTCATCTAGATATACAGCATTGAAGGCATCGAATTATTTGTTAAATAATCTGGTTAAAAACTAGGAAATATATTAAATATAAAAGATGCAACATAGATTTTAATTTAGCATTTTAAACATATTAGCAGCAGAATAAATAGGGGAAAAAAGATTTGCTGAATTGTTTTTCAATAAATGGGAATTCTGGGACAATTCAACACAACATTGAAACCTTCATAAATGTGAGTCAGTTGTTAAGCATCCAAATATAAATCATGTGACCATTGGGATGCAATGGTCATAAGTGTGAAAAATGGGCATGTCACTTTTTTCAGTGTCGTTGCAACTTCAAACAGTTGCTAAGTGAGCTATTGTAAATCAAGGACTACCTGAATTTAATCTGCTTAGAAACGTCTTCAGGCCTTTCTGCTGGATCGCCAAAAACAGTGGAAGAGGAATAAAACTGAAGTTTTGAAAACTTCAAAAATAAGAACCCAAACAATCCTCCTGCCCAGAAATCTCTCTCACCCTTATTTGGGTGATATCAACATGGCATTGGCCGGCCTGCTGTGACCCTTGTCTACCAAAACTAAATATCACCTCTGCTCTAGAATAAACATTACCTTCAGTTCTTCAAATGTCTAAACAGAAGCTCTCCATCATTCGTAATTCATCAACTTATTGTGGTCCAAGGTCTCAGGACAGATGATTCCGCCACTGTTTGGTGTAAGGGGTTGGTGACATTAGATGGGAAACTTGTGGGCTCTGGAAGGTGCCAGATCAACAAAACACCTTCTAAGCACAATTGTTGAGAATCTCTAGCAGCATTCTTTTAAAATATTGGTTGGTTTATTTCAGTGCCACCAACATAATGCAACTTGTAGGGAGGAATTCCCCACACCAGGCTAACCTTGGTCAGTCTGAGACCTGATTCCACTACCATAGCCTCAACCTCCTCTTAAACATTCAATTTATTCCCTGTTGATCTAAAAACCATTTGTTCCTGCTTCTTTAAACATGACTGTGCAACCTGTCTAAGCAACAAGACAAGTTACAAGTTGGACTGTGCAGCTCTTAACTTGTAAATAAGAAAATATGAAAGCATATTCTGCTTTTTTAATGTCACCTTTAATGAACAATAATTTAAGAACTTGTTAATATTATGGATAATACATTATTAGGAGTGCTACAGTCAATTTGGAAGTGGCGGGCCCATGAACAATACTATCCCTTTCCCACCCACTGACAGTCCGTAGAGCCAGAAGGATTGGGAATTCACTGCTTTAGCCAATTTGTAAAAAAGAAAAGAAAAATGCATGCTATTAAATACCTTGCTTGAGAGATCTCCAAGATAGAGTATACAAATCCAAAGTAACTGAAGATTCTTAAAGTTTAATAAAGCACAATTAAAAGCATTCATGACAAGGGAATGACCAAAATATTAGAAGTCAGTGGGCGTAGAAAGGTTGCAGCTGGCAAACATGACAGTCAGAGGCCTTCTGAGGAAACAAGAAACCAGCCTGAATTTCTAGTTCGTTGCTATCTGGTAGCAATCAATGCGAATATAAACTGTGTGCCTTGCACATCTGACTAACAACCCAAGATTTTGTGACAGAGCTTTGCCTTTACAAGGGAGAAAACAGAAGGATGAAACTGGTGAGCGTCAATTACCTGACAGGTTTCTGGGCTACTAATGCAAATGCTGCTATTTTAAGCTGAGGCACTCAAAAATTATGATCGATAAGCCACTGATATTAAATACTCATACATATTTTCACTAGTCAAATGTCCTTTTGAAATCTGGTGTTTCTAAAGGTTCATGTCTTCAGAAGGAATTGGGATGAGGCGTGATAGGAGCAAATTAATGCAGTTAACTTCCTTTCCGGATAATCTATAAAAAGATTCCCTCCTAACAAGAACTTTAATCTATCATTAAAGTGTATACTACTTGGAGTCAACAAAGTTAAATCCATCTCACTGCGTTAAAGATTGAACACATGAATCCTAGCATCCAAATCTACTCCCAATATTTCTTTTCTCAACCATTACATCAGGGGTGAAGTAAGGGATGATGGGAACATGATAGTTTTTCATAACCAAACGTATTCTCAGTCTTCCTTAGAGGGTGGAATTCCCACCATTCTTTGAAAGAAGCAACCCAGGAATACTATTTATTGGGTAGGAACATATTGTGGTGAAAGGTAAAAACATTCCAGAGAATATGTTATGTTATGTTATAACATAATATGTTATCATATTAGTATTACCTAATCTGATGATTCCAGAATGTCTACTACCAGAATTTCCAATTGGCATGAAATTTATGAAAAGTATCAAGTCAACGAAGCTCTTTGAGCTATTATTGTGAAAAGAAATCTTAAGAGAAGACTCTTATCCTATATATCCTACACAGGGTGACCAACGCAAGGCTACAGTATATCTGTCCTTTAACAATGTCTGGAGGCCATAGGATTTCAGCAGATTTTCACTAAACCTTGGCAAGACCGAGTGGCTTTGGATGCATGGAGCCTCAGGATCATCCTCAATTCGGAATGGGATTGCACTCGAAAAGCAGAAGGCGAGCATAACTAGGAGAGCTTTTGTACATCTCTGGTTTGTGCACCAAAAGCAACCTTTCTTGGATCATAGCCTCTATGCACTCAGTTACTCAAGATCTGGTCATCTCTCTTCTGGACTATTGCAATGTGCTCAATGGGGCTATCCATTTGGAAGCTTCAGCCAGTGTAAAGTACAGCAGAAAGTGCAATCTTTTGGCCTCCTAGGATGGCCCACATTACACCTTTGCTTCATTGGTTACTGGTTGGTTTCCAAATTCAGTTCAAGGAGTTGGCGATGACCTTTAAAGCCCTTAATGGCATGGGTCCAGGCTACCAGATGAATCATCTTGTCCCACTAGAACAAGCCTGTTCTATTCCTGCCATCAGAGTGGGCCTACTATGGATCCCGTCAGTCAAAGAATTCTGACTATTAGGTTCCTGAAGAAGATCCTTCTCTTCTGCAACACCCACCCTTTGGAGCATCCTGCTGCCTAGGCTAAGATCTGCCCCCACCCTTCTATCCTTCTGCAAGAGCCTGAAGATCTGGCTCTACTGGTTAGTCTGGGGACCAGATGGGGGAAATCCATGTTGGAAGTGGTTGCCGGATTGAGACTCCACATACACCCCTTGCTCTCTGCTCTCCACCCATCTATCTTTTTGTTATCATATTGGTGTTTTCTCTCCTTGTTTTCTTTTTCATTTTATTCTATTGCTCTATTATTTTATTTCTGTTTACACTCTTCATTTCTTCCTTTTTATTGTTATAAGCTGTCTAGAATAGTCCCACAGTGAACTAGGAAAGCAAATAAATTTAACAAATAATAAAATAATAACATTGATTAATATTTCTTAAAATATATAATATCATAAAAAGTTTTATACATTTGTGCAATTTAATATGCTAATTTCCTGAATAATCTTCTACATGAACATGGTTACTTTTTTATAATGAAAATGCTTCAAGCTACAGTCTTTAAATTAAATCCGCTATGTCAAAATACATGTGAAAGACAATCAAAATGTTTTGTCAAGATTTTCCCTTCTATCAAGATAATGTATATTTGGAGTTGAATATTTAATGTAGCTGTAGAAATATTAATCATACAATGCAGTGAAAGTTTTAGAGGCATCCTTCAAGCTTAACAAAGTACGTATTTCCGAAGAACAGTTTTATAGTTCTCTCTTGAGAATTTGGCTTAGAGTAGTAGAACTTCTAAATGTTTGTCTCACATTGTTAATTCATTTTGTTCCTTCAGATTATTTATAACTTTAATTAGAACAAGCATCATAGTTTAAAAAAAATATTACTATCAACTGATCTCTTTGTCAATTCCAAGTTATTTGTTTCAAAAGCTATAATGTTCTTTTTCCCCAATTCTTTTATTTATCTGGAAAAAGGTTATTACTCAAGTTATTTGTAAAATGAGAGAAGCGTGATAGATTTGCTGAAAATAAAATAAATTGTAAACACAGTTTCTACTCAGTTGGACTGTCTTAAATTCAATGTTATCTTTTTTTTAAGTAAAGTAGTCCAGTTCTTCATACATTTTAGCATCAATAATTTCTCACTGTTCACAAACAAGAAATAGTCTTCTTTGAAGTATTAATACTTACTCTGTCTCTGTCATCAACCACATCACGGAGAATGTCGTCGCTATCTAGGATTCCACCATCACTGTGTTCTAGACGATGTACCTGTATCCAGTAGTTTGGATCCTGCACAAACAAAAAGAAAACCATTAGATATCACTAAATATCTATGACTTATGAATCAATAGCTGTTGCTTATTTGACGGTGCTCCCCCACAATGAGTTTTCATGTCTTCCAAGTAAAATTACCTTCTATAAATCAGTTGCATCGATAGCAATAGCAATAACAATAGCATTTAGACTTATATACCCCTTCAAAGTCAGCATACTGCCCCCACCAATCTGGATTCTCATTTTATTGACCTTGGAAGGATGGAAGGCTGAATCAACCTTGAGCCTGGTGGGATTTGAACTGCCAAATTGCAGTACTGCACTCTAACCACTGTGCCACCACAGCATTATTCAATGAGGACCTTTGGTGACACAATGGTTTAGAATGCAGTATTGCAGACTAGCTCACTGCTCGCTGCCAGCAGTTCAATCTTGACCTGAGTCGAGGTTGACTCAGCCTTTTATCCTTCCAAGGTCAGTAAAATCCAGATTGTTGGGGACAATATGCTGACATTTATAAACTGCTTAGAGAGTGTTGTAAAACACTATGAAGCAGTATATAAGTCTAAGTGCTATTTCAGTCTAACTCTGCCCACTGCTAGAAGTTCAATCCTGACCAGCTCAAGGTTGACTCAGCCTTTCATTCTTCTGAGGTTGGGGACAAATTAAAATCCAGATTGTTGGGGACAATATGCTGACATTTATAAACTGCTTAGAGAGTGTTGTAAAACACTATGAAGCAGTATATAAGTCTAAGTGCTATTTCAGTTGCTACCTATGTCAACACCATATATACATTGGTGGTAGTGCATCCTCAAAGTTTCCAAGTGATCCTATCACAGTGACCATTTAAAAGTGAATGTGTGTAACCTGAAACCAGCGGAAAATATTTACTCCCATATTCCTAAACAGCATATCTTTCAGGAGCCAAGCTTGGATTAGGATTGTTGTATTTCATTGCAAGGTCTGAAGAACTGGAAAGGGAAAATACCCTCTAACAATATAAAATTCTCTCTAGCATTAAAAGGAAACTAAGGTTAAAAGGAATATTTTTTAAAAAGAAAAAAAAGAAAACAAAATTGCAACACATAATCAAGTTTACAAGACATTCTACATAACTATGTTAGTGAATATTTGACGTATTTCATTATAATCCATATATCAACGAATGATGTGTTAATGTTGCAAATAATGTAAATTATGTAAACCACTGAATAGTTGGACATATTTCTATCATTCTAATGTAGCAGGACAAGTTTCAAGTTTTTCTACCTACTAACAGGTCTTAGGAAAAATTGTTTAGATGTCTATCTAAAGATGAAGAAAAAAGCTTCTTCGTTTAGATGTCTATTTTTACCTGTCTACAGTATTTTAAAAATCAGAATATTAAACCTTGCCTCAAAGTTGATTCAATACATGCAAAGACTTTCTCCCTAAAGAGGACCTTATATATAAAAATGTGTGTAAATAGCAGTAGCGCTTAGATTTATATACCACTTCACAGTGCTTTTACACCCCTCCCTAAGCAGTTTACAGAGTCAGCCTATTGCCCCCAACAATCATTTTAACAACCTCGGACGGCTGAGTCAACCTTGAGCCTGGTGAAATTTGATCTGCCAAACTGCTGGCAACTGGTAGTCAGCAGAAGTAGCCTGCAGCCCTGCATTCTAACCACTGTGCCATTGTGGCTCTTTAAAAAAAAAAAGAGGCAAAAAAGAAGAAGCATTAATCCTATGATGAACTACCCAAACTTTTTGTATAATGCAGTGGAGTCCAGGAAAACCAATAGGGTTTAATTTTTTCCATGAATAAGACATATTAAGATCTACTAAAAAATTTAAAATCTCAGATATCGCCATCTGAGCAGTCATGTCCCAATGGGATTGGCCTACCTTATCCCAATCGCTTCAACAAGAGAGCCCTACTATGGATCCCATTTATCAAAGAATGTTGACTGGCAGGATCCAGGAGAAGAGCCTTTTCTGCTAGGAATATCCCCAACCTTTAGAATATTCTCCCATAGGAAGGGAGATCATCCCCCACTCCTTTGGCCCTCTGGAAGAACCTTCAAACCTAGATCAGGACCCCAATGGGAGTGACAGTGTAGAAAGAAAACCCTTATTCTAATCTTCATTCAATACACTCTCTTAGCTTTATTTATCTTTACATTATCTTTTTATCACTTTGTAAGCCACCCAGAGTTGTTTCAACAGTGAGAAGGATGGCATATAAATTTTTTAAAAAATGCATGGATGTCAAACTAACATCATCATGTTGTTGTCACATGACGTACCGTGACTTTTTCTCCCTTTGCTAAAACAAAGGTGGTCATGGCCAGCATGTGACGCACCTGGCCCGTGAGTTTGACACCCCTGTTGTAATGGAACACTGTGCATGAAAATGACTTGTTCATAAGTCAGGTGAGTAGGCTACCTATGTAACTCAACAGTAGCTTGTCATCCCGTGTGTGCATAACCCGCTACAAAAGAAAACCTGGCTGAACTTGCCATCAAAACTCCCTGGGCTGTAGTCAGGCGTCAGATGTTTGACGGTGATAAAGACTAACAGGAGCCCAGTACGGATGACTGAAACCAAGCAGCAGCAAGACATCAGTAACCATGCATCAAAAGGATGAGCTTAGTTAGGAATGCCAGTTCAAAATTAATTATGGGCATGGAAAAATAGAGGTTGTAATAGTTTTCTCTAGCCAAAAGAATCAAAATAAGAGAGGGGAAAATATTCCTTCCCCTTCTTGAACTTGACTTACAGTTCATTATTGCTGAAATTTGTTTTCTTCCTTTAACCAAATGAATCCATTTGTAAACTTTGACATAGATAGAACAGATGGTATGAAGCCAAGGGCATTGTGAGATTGGAGCAAATAAGCAACTAACACATTCTTCAACAGTTAATCACAAACTAGTTATACTTCGAGCCAATAGCAGAGCGTGTTTGACAAAGATTTGGTTGGCTATAATAGCTGTGTGTTTTTTTTAAATGCAGGTGAACCTTTTGAAGTTCTCAGGTTAACTAAGGTTGTAGGAGACCTAATCTTCGAGGATATGAATTCAGGAATGTTCACAGAGAAGTTCAAAAAGAAACAACTAATGTAAAGCCACAATTTCCTCGTAACACAGTTTACCATAGTTGTCTTCCTGTTTAGAAACAGCATTATACCCATGATAAACTACTATGGCATGCATGATAGCAGTATATCAAACTAAAAATAAACATTATTGATTTAAAGAGTTTATAAAGAATTAGCAATTGTTACCTTTTATTATTCTGTTTTAAACACAATCTAGGCATAAACTTGATAAAATTCATTAATGATATGAGTTCAGTTTTTGGATAACAGAATTTGAGCTCAAGAACATTCAAATTTCTTCCAGTGCAAACTTTATAAAATCTAACGTCCACAGTCTTTTAACCATTTTAGTGGTCCAACAGACAACAATATTTCAATGAATCAACTACATTTTTAAACCCTAAGAAATATTTACAGAGATGACCCACTGATTCGCCAGAATTGGATGTTCTAGGTCCATGATGGCGAACCTATAGCACACACCCAACAGGTGGCAAGCAGCACCCTTTCTGTGGGCTGAGGCGTCACCCCGGTTCAGCTGTGCCACGCATCCTGCTGGCAAACTGGTCATCGGGTATCTGCCATGCATGTGAAGGGGCAGACCATATGAATGGGGTACATGCACAGGGGCCACGCACAAATTGCATTTTAGGGGTGCATGCACGCACGCTTTGGGCATTTGGTCAAAGAAAAGGTTAGCTATCACTGTTTTAGGTCTTCACTCCCTAATTTAGGTATATAGTAAAAGCTTTCATCTTCTATTTTCCCATAAAATTCAATTGTTGATTTTCATGCAAAATTACAACCACCTCATAGGCTGCTAGACTATCTGGCCCATGGTGTAAGTTTCAATGGTATATATAACTAAACAAATATTGTATTGAGTCATATTCAGCATACTGTACAATTTCTAAAATGTTTTTATAACCAATAGAAATCAAATGTGTTACACATGTGTTGATTTGTTTGGCCCAATATTCAAACTAAAAATCTACCCTACTATTTTGTAATTTGAATCAATTGAGGCTATATGCCTGGCACTCTTCAAAGTTGAAAATGAAGAACCATTTTAGATATACCTGGACCTTAAAACCTGGCACAATTTTAGATATATTACATGCTTACATTCCAAGTAGACCAAAGTCATAAAATGTCTCATTCCAAAATGTATCTTATTCCAAAATATATAGATATTAAGATATTAAAATAAACATATAAAATCCTGATAGAATTAAGATTAATTTTAACATTAAATGATCCCCAAAAGATTTTAACTTAGTTATACCTAATGAAATTACAGGTATACATTCAGACATATAAGGTGCCATATTTTGAAAAAAATATAAACCCAAGTATTTTAAAGAATCTAAGAAAATTGGCAATCCTAATCCTATAGAGTAGGTTCCAAAATCAACAAATAATATTTGTTCCAGCTAATGGTATAATCAGAGTATAAACTGTATTTCTGTTATGAGTTTCAACCATTTTGGGTTTTGACATTAGCCATAACTTTAATAATGTATATAAGAACAATTAATATTCAATGCTGGGTGCCAATGTACAATATCTTGAGACAATCTGATGTACAAAATAAGGGTGTGAGACCCAAATTGAAGATTAGGGGAAATCCTTGTTGAGTGCCATGATATAACTTGATAGGTTGAGAAACAAATCAGTTTTTAATAAATGCAGCCACTAGGTGGCGATACTAAATTGTAATACTGTACACCGAACAAAGGACAATGAAAACCTTACTAGAATACATTATACATTTGAATCATAGCAAAGGCCTTTTCAGAATGTAACTAGATTAACAGTCAATTCCAATTTATTTGATGTAATATCCCTGCTATCAATCATCACATAAATATTGTCATATACTTGTTTATTTTTTTATCAACCTAGATTGATGTGGATGAATTATAGA